CTAGATACTGCAGCAGCATTGGAGTCAGATGCGCCTCCAATGCGGACAAGGAGTCTCTACCAACTAGACACAATCGCACCCAAGCTATCACCATCCCAACACCGATATTCGAGAGAAAATATGGGGCTCTTTAAATTTTTGGACACTATTTGAGTCCAATGTGGATTCTCAGCCCTCTTTTAGTGGGTTGCAAGAATTCAACTACCTGCTATGGGCACTACGTGGTGAGGCACTACAGCTGANTAGATAGATAGATAGATAGATAGATAGATAGATAGATAGATAGATAGATAGATAGATAGATAGATGGATAGATAGATAGATAGAGGACTCTAATAAAGTCCTAGAAGAAGAGCGGCACTAAAACAGCGCGTATGACACCTCAAGCAATAATTCATCTCTTTCAAACTAGGCTGCAAGATGTCGTACAATTTGTGAATATTCCTAATAACAATATCAAGCAGCTGTTAGTTCGTAATAGGCTTTACGACAAGCAGTGCATAACAAATGATTGCATCATATGTACCTACGAAGAAACAGGTGATTGCGCACTGAGAGGCGTGATGGCGGACGTGTGGGTCAACATACATCGGACAAACGGGAAGACAACTAGCTACGCGAATAAAAGAACACCTAACTAATATGAGGCGTGGCAGCCTGCTAGCAGCGCTTGGTAGGCATAAAATTGAGGAGCGTAACGGCAATGAATTTAAAATCAACACAACAAGTACACGATATTAGCGCAGGAGTCGGAGATTTCAGCGAGAAAGTTATTAGAGGCGTCCTAGATTTCCAACCGAATTCCTAAAATGAACGGTAGAGATGAGTGCCTGGCCATAACCAACGATCTTTTGCCATTTACACCGCACTGCGGCTTGTAACTCAGAAGCATTACAACGTGATCTTCCTTATCACAAGTAAAAGGGAGAGAAACATAAGTCCCACTCGCTACTGAAAGTCGCTTGTGGCGACAGCGGATTCTATATCCGCTTGAGCGAGGGGATTTTCGGTGAGTTATGCTTAGAATTATGGGTTTTGAATTCGCCGCAACATACGCCAGGGGTTAGTGCGTTTTGGGTGCTATGCAAATACTTCATGCTTCTCGAGTTGTTTCAGACCTCTGAAGAAGATGATAAAGTCGAAACGTTAGGCCGTTGACTTGATAAATTGTTCAGCCTACCAACCTCGCATGACACAAGAACATTATAGTAATAAACAACTATGCCGAGGTTAAATCAAGAGAGGAGTTGGAGAATAATTCATCTCTTCCAGGAGTCCGTCGCTATTTATCTTGCCTTTTCGGACTTTGATGGAGACATCAATCAGCAATTAAATGCAATTCAGATAACAGTACTATTTACAAAAACCTTCGTTTACACTGGTCAAGTCAATTTCCTCTGTATCGTTAGCGAAGGGAAACTCTGCGGGGCTTTTATGAAGAACTGAACTTTTCGTCCTTTGCACTTCGTTGAGTTCTGACGACTATCATACATGCATGGACCGGGTATTAAATTTAGAATCGGTACTCACCCAATTCGACCGAGACTTTGGGCTGCATGATTTGTACCAGACCTGTGTGGAAGGGTGAAACAGGCCGAAATCAACGAACGAATGACGAAATGACAGTAACAGGAAATTGTTCCCGTGAAACTGCATTACACTGCCAGTTGTAGGGAACGTAGAGTTCAAACTGGCGCAAGATTAAATTCAGAAATCTAATGAACGCCACAAAGCGAACTTATAAACGCAAAAAGAGAACATTGCCTAAGTTTATTCTCCGAATTGCTTTACTTTGATATTATCATATTTACATGACGTTTTGTGTAGACCATGATGATGACATGTAGTTAAGTCGGTTACTCCTCGTAACTCGTTGAAAATCCAATCCTCGGAACGGCTGGTGGATGTCTGCGAGGCTCTACCGTTTTCCAGAATCTGACGAATTGAGGGCATCAAAGTATATATGTGGGTGAGGTATACCAAAAACATCAGGGAACATAAACATAAGGGAAGGTGCAGCTTCGGAGAAACCCTTTGGAAAAGGAAATAACGGACGTCCGAAAAGTTGTTATCATATTAATGGCGCACCCTGTATGATTCACGTCTTTCCGAAAGTGTAAGCGTTAGCATACTACGAGTCGTTGCATCACGCCCAGGATAAGGAAGGCGGAAGTCTCCCAAAGAAATGTTTGTTTTGCCGTGGGTCAGATAAGTGACGCCGGAGCGCAGTATTTTACGGCTCCAGTACAGTCTGAGCAATGTTAGATTAGCATCCGTATTTCGTGTTTTTTGTTTAGATGTGCCGCAAAGCACTCTAACAAAGTGGGGGGATCTACATATACCCTAAGAACGCTAAAGGAAGTAGCACATGGTTAGGATGTCCTGAGAAGTGCACTTCGAAGGTTGTAGAAATCTTTAACTGAACATCCAGCTTGTCGCGCACCGAAGTACAAAGCAACCTTGATTGAATGCGAAAATGAATGATCCCATATCATCATTAAGTGTTTGACAAGTAAACAAATGGAGAGTACAGTAGAAATTGAAGTGTTTAGTGAAACTAGCTTCCAAGATATAAAATCTGTATAGCAGATATCGGATAAAAAAACCATATTGTGGTTGCTCCGAAGAGTTGAACTATCTCGCTTTTTGCAGGAACTTATGTTAGGGCTGAATTCAGTATCATGAAGAGAGGTGGTCAGAAGTATACGAGCACAAATTCATTCAACAGTACTTAATCTGCTTCTACACTTCGGCGCCATCCTCGGTTCGGGCATCTCATATCTCTAGTGTCCTGCGCACAGGCAACCTTCCTCAATGGATATGCTCCCAGCACAGCATTAGTCATTTTACGATGCTTCACATCTCCTTATTTCTCCTCGTCTCTTCACATCTCCTTAT